GATGAAATTATGCTGACAACAGAGTACTTTTCTAGAATGTCTGCATATACCCACTGGAGCTCTATCACACCATCAAAGAGGATATAGGTTATGAAATTGTGGAAAGTATAGGAGGGCTGGCAAGTTTTGGCCCTCAGAGAATCTCCAAATAAGTGTATTTTGCGATAGAATGAGTCGACCATCAAACCCCACATTTTTGTAACATGGTTATTTACTAACGTGAGAATTCAAGGTGAATTCAAAGTGAATTTTTATATTTAAGGCCAGAGCAGCTGAACTGAAAGCATTGCTGACTAAGAGAATATTTCCAGTTCAACTATTTTAACCTAAATTTAAATTTCACTTTGAGTTTACTTTGAATTTTACCTAATGAATGACCCTGTTGGTGTGTGTGCAGTATTCCTGTGTAGTGTCACAGTGTGAGAATGCAGTAATTGAATCATTGCATAAGAGGATAAAAGTGTAAATAGAGTGGGTAATCTTGTATGAACTGTTAGTGTATGTGAACTCAGGGAATGTAGTTTTATAAAAATAGAGTCAGTGAATACAGGGGAGCAGTTGCATGTCAGTGTGTGTGAATTGTCACTGTGTTAATTGATGAGTGTATTTATGGGCGTGGATGATCAGATGAGCACTTTTGTAGCTCTTGAATTACACATATTCTTCTCATACCTCTACAATATTTGTAAAATACATGGAAATACACTAAGGTGGCAATTCACATATTTAAATGGGATGGAACCGAAGTCCTTCTATCACTCCTGCGTGATTAAGTGATATAAGGTGTCAAAAACTTGTTAACTTTGTTAATTTATTATATTGTTTTTTGTAAAACGTTGCTACAAATTTTGGGAGACACCCCTCACATTTTTGTAAATATTTTATTATTTCTTGCCATGTGACAACACTGAAGAACTGAAACTCTGCTACAATGTAAAGCAGTAAGTGTACAGCCTGTATAACACTGTAAATTTGCTGTCCCCTCAAAATAACTCAACACACTGCTATTAATGTCTAAACCACAATATTTTGTGTGGCCACTATTATTTTCCAGCACTGCCTTAACCCTCATGGGCATGGAGTTCACCAGACCTTCACAGGTTGCCACTGGAGTTATCTTCCACTCCTCCATGACAACATCACAGAGCTGGTGGATGTTAAAAACCTTGCGCTCCCCCACCTTCCGTTTGAAGATGCCCCACAGATGCTGAATAGGGTTTAGGTCTGGAGACATGCTTGGCCAGTCCATCACCTTTACCTTCAGTTTCTTTAGCACGGCAGTGGTCGTCTTGAAGGTGTGTTTGGGGTCATTATCATATTGGAATACTGCCCCGCGGACCAATCTCCGAAGGGAGGGGATCACAGTACATGTTGGCATTCATGGTTCCCTCAATGAACTGTAGCTCCCAGGCCCAGACCATGACACTCCCACCACCATGCTTGATTGTAGGAAAGAAACACTTATCTTTGTATGCCTCACCTGGTTGCCACCACACACGCTTAACACCATCTGAACCAAATAAGTTTATCTTGGTCTCATCGGACCACAGGACATGGTTCCAGTAATCCACATCCTTAGTCTACATGTCTTCAGCAAACTTTTTGTGGGCTTTCTTGTGCATCTCTAGAAGAGGCTTCCTTCTGGGATGACAGCTATGCAGACCAATTTGATGCTGTGTGCGGCTTATGGTCTAAGCACTGACAGGCTGACCCCCCACCCACCTTCAACCTCTGCAGCAATGCTGGCAGCACTCATACGTCTATTTCCCAAAGACAACCTCTGAATATGACGCTGAGCACGTGCACTCAACTTCTTTGGTCAACCATGGCGAGGCCTGTTCTGAATGAAACCTGTCCTGTGAAACCGCTGTATGGTCTTGCCCACCGTGCTGCAGCTCAGTTTCAGGGTCTTGGCAATCTTCTTATAGACTAGAGCAACAATTCTTTTTTTAGAGCAACAATTCTTTTTTTCAGATCCTCCGAGAGTTCTTTGCCATGAGGTGCCATGTTGAACTTCCAGTGACCAGTATAAGAGAGTGTGGGAGCAATAACACCAAATTTAACACACCTGCTCCCCATTCACACCTGAGACCTTGTAACACTAACGAGTCACATGACACAGGGGAGGGAAAATGTCTAATTGGGCCCAATTTGGACATTTCCACTTAGGGGTGTACACGCTTTTGTTGCCAATGGTTTAGACATGAATGGCTGTGTGTTGAGTTATTTTGAAGGGACAGCAAATTTACACTGTTATACAGGCTGTACACTTACTACTTTACATTGTAGCAGAGTGTCATGTCTTCAGTGTTGTCACATGAAAAGATATAATAAAATATTTACAAAAATGTGAGGGGTGTATTCACTTTTGTGAGATACTGTATATGAATAGACAAAAACAGAAATATGAATAGCCAAATACAGATATATGAACAGCCAAGACACAGATATATAAATAGCCAAATACAGATATATGAACAGCCAATACACAGATGTATAAATAGCAAAATACAGATATGTGAGTAGCCAAGACACAGATACGTGAGTAGCCAAGACACAGAGATAGGAATAGACAAATACAGATATATGAATAGGCAAGACACACATACATGAATAAAAGCGTGCATACAACGTCAAGTGATCACTGTGCAAGACAATGGTAATATGCATGCACAAAACAAACAAAAATTGCAAAGGCCCAATATTTTAATGAAAATTTGAACAATAACATATCAAACCCTAGAAATTTTGGGGAAATTATAGGTAACTTGTCAAAGTGGAAAACTAAACCCTGCAACACCCCCTAGATGTAGCAATAAGAACTATTTTGTCGTATGTTCCACCACCCTAATTGCCTAGCTAATAAATAACACACATTCTGAAATTTCAAATGTAAATCAGGCCCCACTAAATCTGCAAAGATCCCATATAGAAAAGTTCAATTTAAGCCTGTGCCTGTTAGTGTCATTAATAAACGCCTAATAATCTAAAAATGAAAAATGAAAAACCAGTTGGAAGAATGCAAGAATGGTACCTATCCATAAACATAGTGAATATTATCAACAATCAAACTATCCAACCCGTGATCAATCAGTTTTTTTAACCAAATCCCTCCACTACAACTGCCCTCTTAAAGTTTGCAATGACACCCAAACTGGCATGGAGCAAGAATGCCTAACTGAAGCTATTTTCCTTGACTTTGCCAAGGACTTTGACACAGTAGACCAATACTAGACTACTGCGAAAACTTAAAAACTCAGTTATTGATGAACATTCGCTAACCTGGTTTCAATCATTTGTATCAGATCGACCACGTGTGTCCATTTCTGACAGCAACTCCCTCTCCCAGTCATGTGCTCTCTTGGATCAGTACTTAAATTACATCAATTAGAAAATCCTCAGCTATGCATCAGAATAAAATCAATTACATGCTGCCCAGAGTCCGTTCTTTCAAATACTTAAGTATCTCAATCTATCTTTTGGCCTCCACATCTCATCAAAATCTCATCAAAACTATATTCAAAATTAGGTGCCACGTACAGAAACAAATCCTGCTTAAGCCTCACATTAAATAAACAGATTGTGCAGGAAATGCTAATGCCAGTCATTGATCATGGGGATGTGGTGAATGCACCAGCACCACAAACCAACCTTCATAAACTTAATACATTGTTTAACTTGTTCTGCAGATTTATGCTACAATGTAATTACATGACCCACCATTGTGACATGTTAAAAGAGCTAAACTGGATGTCGCTGGAATCCAGATGCACCTTTCATCTTTCCAACCCTTTATTTAAGAACTTTTCGAGGAAGCTCCCATCCTACCTGAGCAGAATGCCCTCCCCAGCTGCTCCCACTTCCAATAACCTCTGATCCAGTACCAGCACTTTATTTAGTCTACCTCAATACAAAATTAAAGCAGCCCGATCCGCCTTTTCCTACATAGCACCGCAATTATGGAGTAACCTCCCTGAACTTTATAATCTTTCCCTAGGCTAAAATCCTTTGAGAGATCCCACTCTACTTATCTCAAAACATAATGCACCTGTAATCATTGTTGATTATATCTCTTACCTGTTCTGTGTTAAATTTGTATATGTGTTGTGTATTATTTATTTTTTATTTGTTACATTATGTTTAATACCCTATTATAATGATGCAGTGTTAGTGGGCCCAGGACATACTTGAAAACGAAATAAATCCCAATGTAAAATATTTTATAAATAAATAATACTAATTTACTAATATGCACAAATAGACAAACACACACACACATGGGCTAACATATTCAAATGTAACCTCCAATTAGGTAATTTTTAGGACCCATCAAAATCAAATATTTATTTCCTAGGGACTTGAAACCTAAAAAAAACCCTTTAACTTTTTCCCAAGTAAATCATTGAGAAATTGATAGAGTCAAACCTAAAAATTCTGGCTCTACATTATGTAGCAGTGTGAGGTCTTTTGCTTATATCCAATAGTTAAATCGATATCCTGTTTAAAGATTCCGCTTTGATCTGTATTTAATTAGACAAAATATGTTCTTATACATCAAAGGTTCTAGGATCTTAGTATATCTGCACAATACTTGCTTTGCTCCATAGCTCCACCTGGCTTCAGGGCTCAGTGTATGTTTGCAGAAGTGCCTTCTCACATTTTACAACTCTTTACTTCCTCCTACAGTCTATTTATACACCACAAGTGTTTTATTTTGATTTAATTTAGTCCACTATGTTGTTAAAATCCACTGGCACCACACACTGTGCAGCACATATAGAATAGCACAGAAAAATTTTGCTCAGGTGGTACATGGTCCGAGCCAGACTAGCATCTTCCCAGATAGCTCCCCTTTATGCTGGAGATGTGGTACTCAAAGGGGCACAATGATCCATATATGGTGGACTTGTCCAGTCCTCTTGCCAATGTGGACTGAGATTCATTCTATGGTGGGTGATATTGCGAAAATAGACATACCTAAACAACCCTTAAACTTAATAATGTTATATCTGCCCACCCAAATACCGTGGGACAACAAAGTGGTGATAACCCACATTCTCTTAGCCACCCTCTACCTCATTGTGAGACACTGCAAACAGACAAGACCTCCAACTATTAAAGACATAATAGCCACAGTGGAGAAAAGCAAAAAATATGAAATGATGCTCACATGGATGGGGTGGGACCAGTTTATGGAGAGGCTTGGAGATAGTGGTGATATAAAAGCTGGTAAGGGGAGTGCCACTATGCTTACAAAGGCGGGTGCGGCCAGACAGGATTGGAGAGAAAGCAGCATGTAGGGTCGCAAACACCCATACCCATACCCACATGAGCTGTAAGCCATAATTATCGCACTTATGACAAATCACGGCTTGAACTATCTTGCTTTGCATGTAATGCGTCTATCTCATATATTAGTTTCCCCTTTTACGTTGCATTACTGAAATAAATGAACTTTTGCACGATATTCTGATTTTTCGAGTTTCACCTGCATGTGTTGTAATCAAAATTATTCAACCCCTATTGAAAATCAAATTTCTTGTCAAAGTTTACAGACTTTGAGCTGTGTACAATGAAAAAAATCAAACAAAAGCAATTGACATAGCTCAACACAATGAATGCTTCAATTGGTTGATCCAAATTTAACTGAAAATGCAACTTATAAGGACTTTCACAGTCTCTAAATTATTCAACTCCCTGAGTAGAATCCCTCACAACAACACAAATATGCAAAACAGGTGTTGTCTCAAGCACACCTGATGCAACTAATCAAGGGCTTCATTAGTTGGACCAGGTGTGCTTGAGCTGGAACACTTTAGACTGGCTAGGGGTTTGCTGAGTGTGACGTTTGATTGTATGTTAGAAATATGGGGAAGTCAAAAGAATGATCCACAAAGATAAGAGAAGAGATAATCTCCCTTCACAAACTTGAATTCATAGTGTTGAGCTATTTCAATTGATTTTGTTTGATTTGTTCATTGCAAAGAGTTGAAAGTCTGTGAATTTTGACAATAAACTTGATTTTAAATGGGGCTTGAATAACTTTGATTACAACTGTACATGCTCACACATACCCTCACATGTGATACACACTTACACAAAGAGCCACACTAACACAAATTCAGGCACACTAGTACATATAAACATGCTAACACACTCAAGAATACGTACCCGTATACAATGTTCTTGTGCTCCTTGGTTCTTATCACTTTTCCTCTCTGTGTTCCTTAGTTGCCCTCTTTATAACTCTTACTATGTCTTCTTAATCTTCTTTCCCCTTGACTGTTCCCTGGCTCACTGCATGGTATGATTTCCTTCTCCTGCAGCACTTGGCAAGCAAGAGGTTCATGAACTGCTTCCTCCAATCGGTAAGTCTATGCAGCTCCTCACTGTCCAGTCTTTATTCCGCTGCAGAGTACCAATAGACAGTTCAGCTCATTGTCCACTTGATGGCTTAATATGCCTGCACAATATTACAAGAATTGATTGATAAAGACACACGCTGTGCCAAAATGTTGCTTGCCTATTTGGATGGCTGAATAAACCAATATTACATTGTGATAACCAAATGCTAGAGTCTTATTCTTTATTTTCATATATTTCTTAATCCCTAATACTCAATCTTTGTCTTCCTTACCTCTGCTTGTTACATTCCAGCCCAGTTTTCTGCATCAATGCATCTACTCTCTGTGCCTCCCCTACCTATTTCCCCACCACAAAGTTTTTCTGGAATTGCATACCCATTTGGGCAATGCTCTATCTTGTCCTCCTTTTATTTTCCCTTTTTCTTAGTATCAAAATCTCTGCCACTTCCCACTATTACCTCATATCTCATCCGGACTTTGTCTCCTTCTCGTGCTCTGCCTCTCACTAAATTTTTATGAGAAACCGCTCTCTCCTGGTGCTCTTCCTTCCTCTCCCAGCACTCTTTCAGTGTTTCTTTCTCTGACTCTGCCTCTTCTCCCCAATCCCTCTTTGTTTGTGTTCCCCAAGGGTCTGTCCTCGGTCCCCTATTGTTCTGAATCTATACTGCCTCCCTTGGTAAACTCATTAGCTCCTTCAGCTTCCAATATGATTTCTATGCAGATGACACACAAATCTACTTGTCCTCCTCTGATTTCTCACCACCCCTCTTGACTCGTGTCTCTGATTGCCTCTCTGCTATTTCCAAATGAATGGCTGCTCATTTTCTTTAATTGGATTCAGTTGACCCTAACAATAAAAAAGCATAAAACAAGGGATCCTGTTTTGTCACGTACCTTACCCACCTCAAAGGAGATCAGAACAAATGTGAAGGCTTCCTGAGAGATTTTGCTGACAATTTCAATTTCCAAAGCATTACAGCTAATGAAGTTCTGTTGTTTGTCTTTGAATGACTTTTCTGACCAAAAATCACAAGGAGTGGATACAAATGCAGTTTGAAATTTGATTGTTTGTTAAATACCTCTGATTGGTCACCTTTTCTTCTCAATGTGTCCCCTGGTGATGTCCTTATAAGACTAGCAGATGGACTTGCACTATGGTTCCCCACTTACTTGGACATGGATGCTATTAGCCCACTTACTTGGACATGGATGCTATCCACTTCTTGGATAAAAATTAGGAGAAATCACCTTTGTCTCCTGGTAACATGGTAGAGTTGGGACGGCAATATCCTAGTGCTGAGCTGTGACTGCATTGGTGTCAGATTGTTTTGAAGAATAACTGCCAATCCCAGTTCTATAATGTCAGGGAATTACTTCACAGTCATGGCAAGTATAAGTATAGGCTACCATTATATTGTGCTATGCACAAAGATTCAGAGTATGCACAGACTCTATTCACATTAGTGTTCAATCAGACATCTAAACAGCTTTATTATAATGTAGAGAATATGTGAAGAAAATTCTGGGTGTATAGAATGTTATCAGGCAAAAATAACACATTAGAAAATATACATAAAATCTGATACCCTAGGAGCCAACATTATATTTTGCATTCGCTTGCCTGTTTCTCGCATTTTTATTTTTAATGTTTTATAATGATATTGATTTTCAGATTTTCACATAGCAAGCTATTGTACAACTTCTGACAAATGTACCGGGTGCCTAGTGTAACGGAGTTCCCTGTATCCCAGCTGGGTAGCTCGGCCAAGACTGCTTCCTAGCTGGAACTCAGTGATTCTGCCCCAGTTGCTGTGGCTTGACTGGGGTCCTCCTGGAGCCTCTCCCTCCGGCAGGGCTGCCATCAGACATTTTGGGGCCCCTGACACAGCCCACGGTCTGGGCCCCCCGGGGCCCGCCCCCCAAGTCAGTCCACATGACCTGCCCCAAGTCCGCCCACATGACCCGCCCCCAAATCCACCCACAGGGCCCATCTTAAGTCCACCCACAAGGATGAAGTGTGTGTGTACTGAATTTGTTTGTGTGTGTGTATAGTGGCTATAGAATGTGTGTAGTGGATACAAAGTGCGTGAGCAAAGTGGATACGCTGTTTATAGGCCATTCAGATTGTATGTTTGTGTAGTGGACAGAGTGTGTGTGTATAGTGGATGTATTGTGTGTATAGTGAATGCAGAGTTTGTGTACTGGATGTAGTATGTGAATAATGAATGCAGATTGCGTGTTTGTGTAGTGGATGTAGTGTTTGTGTGTATAGTAAATGCAGAGTGTTTGTTTGTGTAGTAGATGTAGTGTGTGTATAGTGAATGCAGAATGTGTGTTTGTGTAGTGGATGCTGTGTGTGTGTGTAGTGGATGATGTGTGTAGTGGATGCAGTTTGTGTGTTTGTGTAGTGGATGCTGTGTGTATGTGTGTGTGTAGTGAATGATGTGGGTGTGATTGTGTAGTGGATGCAGTTTGTGTGTTTATGTGGTGGATGATGTGTATGGTTGCGTAGTGGATGATGTGTGTGATTGTGTAGTGGATGATGTGTATGGTTGTGTAATGGATGCATGTTTGATTTATGTGTGTGGTGGATGTGTGACAAATGCTGCTGGGAGGTATTTTTTTGATGTTGAATTTTTAGAATTAAAAAATAAAAAACGTATTCCCCCCTCCCTGCCTCTTACCTGTAGCCAGGGAGGGGGGACACTGGATTCCCTGGTGGTCCAGTGTCTCCGCTTGTTGGGCCAGCAAGGAGGAGCCCAGCAGACTCCCTCCACGTTCTCCCTCCTGCCAGCCAGTGCTCTATTTCTGACGCGAGTCCAGCATGCATTGCGTGCCGTGGAGCGTTGTCATGACAGCCGTGGCTCGCAAGAGTGCTGAAGGGGAAGGTAAATATACCCTGGGCCCACAGAGGCATATATACATAGCAGTACTCGCTATATATATATGCAGATTGAAGGGCTGGGGGCCCGGGTATGCAGAGGATTACCTGTGCAGACTGGGCCCCCCAATGAGCCAAACTCTGTCTTTTATGCACATACCCCAGCAGAGGTTCTCCATTGTATTCAGCACAAGCCTCTCCCAGGAACCTCTGGGCCTGGGAGATAATCGCGTTAAAGACAGGTAAGCTAATTATCACCCAGGAACAGAGAGGCAAACACAAAAATTTAAAACATAAAAATACCCCAAAACATCATAAAAATCTATAATAACCTCACATAATACATCCCCAAATAGCCCTGACCTGAGAGCTCAAGTTCTCCAAATACCGCTCAGATCCATGCAGTGTAGTGGAAACGCCACCGTGCTAAAGTTCTGACCGGCCGCACACGTGGTCCTATGCCCAAAATAGTTCCAGGGTGTTTTGTGCTTTTGGTAGCTCCTGCGTCCGCAATATGGGGTACTCCACCTGGCTCTCAGGGAGCATTTGTTCCCCTTAGTCTCAGGCACCTTCCCTCCAAAAAATGCTCTCCTGCTGATTTTCAGTGGTTCAACACCCAGGACCAAGTTGTTTCGGAACCACATGGTCACCTCATGCGAAAAACAGTTCCATAACATTTGCAACTAAGGGTTTGGTTCATGAGAACGGACTGCCAGGGAGCTCGCATTCGGTTCCATTCGAATGAAGGGAAAGTGCCGAACCAGTGGCAGCAAGGGAAAGCTGTTAATGGCAGCTGGGCAGGGTAACTCCAAAATTGTGTCTCAGACCTGAACCATAGTAGATGAGCAGGAGGCCAGCTCCCACACTCCTCCAGGAGTTTGTGGCAAACGTACGTGAGAAGGAGCCTTTGTCACACCTAGTACTCCTAAATAAAAGGGTTGCTCCAAATAAAGGGAACTTTTTTGGGATGAAGTGTCCCTTGCTGGCACAGTCTCTGTCTCATCTACCCATGTTTACACCTCTTGCAGCAATGTGCTATCATACATCTCTGCATGTCAAACGGAAACACTGTACATACTGACACAGGGGCATCATGGCCACTTCACATGGTCATGTGTCAAGATAACTATAAGGGGAACCACACACACACACACACAGACTCTAAAATACAACAGTGGTATAGATGCCATGTTACCGGTTCTTAGAGTAGCTGGGCTCAGGGCCGGCGCGTCCATAAGGCGGCACAGGCGGCCATCTTAGGGCGCACGGGCACTGGGGGCGCAATATTTCAGTGACCGGCAGGAGGGAAGCTCTCCCTCCTGCCCGGCCACCATCTCGACCCCCGGTGCAGCGCGCGGCAGTGCTGTGATCAGGCGCGGCGAGGGAGCTCTAATCTCCACCCTCTGCTCCCTCGCGCGCTGCCTACTGATGCCGCGGGAGCCGGAATATGACGTCATCAGTAGGCAGCCCGCGAGGGAGCAGAGGATGGAGATTAGAGCTCCCTCGCGCGCCTGATCACAGCACTGCCGCGCGCCTCTCAGCAGCCCCAGCCTTCAGGGACCGATCCAGCATCCACACCAGCTCTCCAGGTAGGGAGGCTGTGTGGAAAATGTTTATTTATAAAATTATTAGTGAATGTATGTGATGTGTGTCTGTGTGTGTGTGTGTCTGTGAGTGACAGTGTGTGTGTCTGTGAGTGACAGTGTGTGTGTCTGTGTGTGTGTGTCTGTGAGTGACAGCGTGTGTGTGTCTGTGAGTGACTGAGCGTGTGTCTGTGTGTGTCTGTGAGTGACAGTGTGTGTGTCCATGAATGACTGTGTGCGTCTCTGTGTGTGTCTGTGAGTGACAGCGTGTGTGTCTGTGAGTGACAGTGTGTGTGTGTGATTGTATGAGTGTGTGTGCATGTGTGTGTCTGAGTGACTGAGCGTGTGTCTGTGAGTGACAGTGTGTGTGTCTTTGAGTGACTGTGTGTGTCTGTATGTGTGTCTGTTACTGACAGCGTGTGTGTCTGTGAGTGACAGTGTGTGTGTCTGTGAGTGACTGTGCGTCTGCGTGTGTGTCTGTGAGTGACAGCATGTGTGTGTGTGTGTGTGTGTGTGAGTGAGTGCGTGTGTCTGTGAGTGCATGTGTGTGTCTGAGTGACTGAGCGTGTGTCTGTGTGTGAGTGACAGTGTGTGTGTCCATGAGTGACTGTGTGCGCCTGTGTGTGTGTCTGTGAGTGACAGCGTGTGTGTCTGTGAGTGACAGTGTGTGTGTCTGTGAGTGACAGAGTGTGTGTGTGATTGTATGAGTGTGTGTTCATGTGTGTGTCTGAGTGACTGAGCGTGTGTCTGTGAGTGACTGTGTGTGTGTCTGAGTGACTGAGTGTGTGTGTGAGTGATTGTATGAGTGTGTGTGTCTGAGTGACTGAGCGTGTGTCTGTGAGTGACAGTGTGTGTGTGTGTGTGTGTGTCTGTGAGTGACTGTGTGCTTCGGTGTGTGGCTGTGAGTGACAGTGTGTGTTTGTGAGTGAGTGACTGTCTGTGTGTCTGTGAGTGATTGTATGAGTGTGTGTGCATGTGAGTGTATGAGTGTGTCTGTCAGTGTATGATGAGTGTGTTTGTCAGTGTATGAGTGTGTGTCTGTCAAATCAGTGAGAGTATGTTTGTCATTGAGTCTGTGTGTGACTAATAGTGTGTCTGTCAATGAGTGTCAATCAGTGTGGGTCTGTCAGTGTCAATGAATGAGTGTGTGTCAGATCAATGAGTCTGTGTCTGTCAGTGACGTCTTTGTGTTTGTCATTGAGTGTGTGACTGTCAGTGTGTACAGAGTGTAGTGGAGCAGAGCGCGGTACAGGAGCTTCTGTTTCCTGTACCTGGCCAGACTGACAGGAGGGGCTCACAGAGAGAGCACTCCCTGTCAGTCCGTCCGGGTACAGAAAACTGAAGCTCCTTTAGGGGATCTGCTCCGCTCGGCAATGCAACAATAGAGGTAGGAGGCACACACCAGGAAGCGTGACCACTAAAGGGGTGGGGGGTGCACCAAGGGACAGGGAGGGAATGGGAGAGAAACACCAAGAGACAGGGAAAAAAGGGGGGAGGGGGAAAGGGGGGAGGGGAGAATAACACTAAGGGACAGGGAACGGAAGGGACCACTAATGGTCGGGGAGGGGAGAGGGGCTGGTTAAGAGGCACATAGGTGAAGATTTTAGGGGGGGAGGCGGGAGGGGGGAGGGCGGAAAAATGCATCTTCGCCTATGTACCTAAAAATCCAAGCACCGGCCCTGGCTGGGCTTTATGTATCGAATAGTCAAGGAAAGATCCAAGGGCAAGGGAAAGAGACATCAGGTAAATGTAAGACAAGCCAAAATACAGGAACACGAAGAGCAGAATAAATGAGTAACATGCCAAGGTCAATAACAGGAATACTTCAGAATACAATACACACTATTGGGCTAAACAAATAGGCCCATGCCTACAAGTAAATGGCAGTAGAATGGCTGTAGTCAGTGAGTGCTGAAAGACCCAATTCATTTTTTTTTAACAATTTGTTCGGTGCTGCCAAGTTATCACTAGGTGTCGCACCATCAGATTCCGGCATCAATGATCATAAAGAGAAGCGCGCAGGCAGCATGCAGCATCTCTCATGCTACCGAAGCAGTGAGCGGGTGCCTCAGAACAGGTAAGTATTACATCATGGTGCTTGGAGTAACCCTTTTAAGTAAATTATCTTTTCAGTTTCACTTTCTGCAAACTGTATAATTGTAATTTGCCCATTATCGTTCCTGTTTCTGAAAGTACTGTCATTTCATTAATGGAAAAAATGGACTAAAACTCCTGAGTAGAGGAGTCCACACACATTCTGCAGACTGTGGATATAGAACCAGTTAAATAAACATGTATTGTATTATGTAAATGTGTTAAAAAAAAATTAGATTTCTTATACCAGGAGGGCATATTATTGAACTGATAATTAATAACGGCAACTTGAAAGCCCATTACAATTCTGCATCTTTTGGAGAACATTTAATGAAGACTGGTGGTGGACCCCTTGGGCGTCTTCTTTTCAAACTTGCCAAGTAAGCCCTGCTTTATAATCATTGTACTTATCTTTCACAGAGTTGGTAGTATGTGTGTGCAGGTTAACCCTTCACACACTGTCCTTGACTCATACATTAGAGATTCCATTATTGCATCAATCAGAGACACATTTTTTAAATGCATAAATCTTGGGAACACCGTAGTGTCAGGAACATAAACATGTATTCCTGACACTATAGTGTTTAACTGTTTTGGTGACGGCCCTCCTTAGATTGCTTAGGAAAGGTATTTTTTATTATTCTTTATTTTTGGCATGCATGAGAGTTACAGGCAGTCTCGCTATGCCCCAACAGCCTAGACAAGGTGAGTAATAACATAAAGCATAACAATGTAGGCATACATGAATAACTGCACACATTTTTTGGGGAAATCAAGAGTGGTGCAAGCTAAATACATGAATATAGTATAATTAAGACAATAATGTGGGACTATGGAGTATTAGTAGGACATTCGTTGGGGTAAAACAAGCTATGTCAGAACGTTGCATAAATACCAATGGCCCCGCTTATTAGGTATGTCAGTGGAGAGAAATCAAAAGTATTGGAAACATATGTCAGACCAACTGACTGCATAAGGGGTCGTAATAAAAGAACACAGGCTTATAAATTAAGAGACATACTATTTGGTGAGATTATTAGCTTGGTTAAGGTATTACTTGACATAGTTCAAGGTTGCTTGTTGAAGAGTTATATCCTATACTATTACTAGAGAGAGTAAGCAGAGTCTAGTGTTAAGAGAGAGAAAGTAGAAGATAGTGCCTCAGGTTCATAATAATGCACAATACCATCTAGAGATTGTTTAGCTTAGCGGTGAGTGTGAAAGAAAGAGGTGATTGAAATGAGTTAAAAGAGACATATCTACACTAAAATAAGGGTTGCTTGTGTGTGGGCGGCTTGTGGGTTTAGGCTCCAGTCCTTAGAGCAACTCAACCTATGCCCTTTGTTTCCCGCTGGTTGATTCACCTGGCTCCCGTTGCATTCAGGGTATGAGAGCTCCTCTGGTCCTCAGCTTGATGGAGGGCTGTCTTCATTGCCCCAGGGAAGGTGTTTTTATCCACATTTTCTTCCACTCTGTGTTGGTAGCGCAGCAGGTGGCCCCACCTCCATGGCTGAGATGATTAATCTTGATGATCTCAGCCAATAAAATGCTTTCCTATTGAAAAGCATTAGGAGGCTATTGGGCAAGCACAGCAAACCCAGAGGCTATTTGCCAATAAGCACCTCCTCATAGAGCAACACTACTAGTGGCCATTAGAGTGACCACCACTAGAGGTTTTCCTAGCAGTAAAAAGTCACTGTTTACATTAAAAAGCATGCAGGGACAGGCTATAGACACCAGAACTACTGCATTAAGCTGTAGCGGTTCTGGTGACTATAGTGTCCCTTTAACTGCTTTTGTATTGTACCTGTTTCAAATGCACTGGCATAAATAAATTAACTAGGATTTGGCAGGAGGACATGCAGCTTTGACTTTTTAGCAGTGCTGTCTACAAGCTCTGTGGTTCTGTACATGTCATTCTGTAAAGTTTAATATTTCTTTAATTTGTGCAGTGTCTGAATGATTACTTGGTTTGTTCCTTTATCTATACCCATCCAGTTCCTCTCCCTGCCCTTATCTTTACTTCTCTTCCTATTAAAAAAACCTTTTTTCCTATATTACTCTCTCCCTTTCAAACCACTCTGTATTCACTCCATTTCAGGCAACCGTTCATTCATTTTTAGAGGAATTCTATAATTGGAAAAACAGATTTTTTTCATGTTTAATAAAACGTTAAGATGGAGTTTTGCCAAATGTTACACACTGAGAGCAGAAAATGAGAAACAATGAGTGAGTAAAATGCAACTTAAATTTTAAAAAGATTGTAAGAAATTGAAGCAATTTTCGTGTATAGGTCATGCCCCTGCAGTCTCACTGCTCAATTATCTGCCATTTAGGGGTTAAATAACTTTGTTTATACAGCCCTAGTCACACCTTCCTTCATGTGACTTCCTTTACAGCACTTCCTGTAAAGAGTCATCTATTGCTTACATTTTCTTAATTGCAAATTATGTTACATTAAAAAAATGATTATCTCCTGCTCTGTAAAGAGCTTGCTAGACCATATAGGAGCCTCTTGTGTGTAATTAAAGTTCAATTTACAGAGAAGGAGATAAAAACATTTTAAAGTAAGTTACATCTTATTGAAAATAAAATAATTTTGTTTTCATGCAGACTGTGTCGATCACAGCCTGGGAGGTCTGGGTAGGGCTACATAACAGAAACAAAGAGGATTTAACTCCTAAATACCAGTGAATTGAGCAGTGAAACTTCAGAGGCATGATCTATACACAAAAACTGCTTTATTAAACTAAAGTTGTTTTGGTGACTATAAAGTCCACTTAGGATTATTTCTGAATGAAAGCTAGAATAATCTACAATGTTACCACATGAAAGGAGGCTTTATATTTTGCATTTTTAATGCTTGTCAACCAACGCAAAAGATGCATGCAAAACAGGTCTGAAATAAAATTGTCTGAAAGTATCCTCAATGGACCATATACGAAGGTCAACCAGAGAGGCCCCAGTTGACAATGTGGAAGACACTGCTGCAACGCGAACTGAATGTGCACCGAAAAAAGGTATCTATACCTGCTAGACAAAAGCCAGTGGACCTAGGGTGCTAACATAGTAGACTGGGTGGTGAAGTTTCACATATGAAATAAGCAAATGTCCTGCAGAACAAAAAGTTACAATTGCCGTCCTAGCCACATAACATAGGAGACAAGCCACCAATCAGCGAAGCGGTGCTTGATGGAAAAACTAATTACACTTAGTATGATAATTACCAGAAAAATTGACAAATGTCCCCAATTGAAGACTCAAACTTCCAAAACTCAGTAAAAGGACACCAGATATAATAAATCAATGGATCTTTCCCAATAGAAATGCCCTGAGTAGGTGTGAGGTCTCCAGTACTTACCTTGGCAGTTGAGCTGTTGAGCCGGACCACCACTCCTGTGCATTAACACACTCAAGTCAGCATCTTGGATTCCGGCCAATACGCGCCTGTCCATTTTTTGTGACGTGGTGCACCAGTGGGCGTTATTTCGTCAGAGTGGCTCTAACCACTAGAGACCAACAAGTTCTCACATTTTGGGGGTGTAGTTTTGCTAAACACATCCCCAAAGCTAAAAAATACCTACAGTCAGCACAAGGCATAGAGCACTGCTGTTCCTAGGCTTCCGCTGTCACAATAGTGCATACCTTGGTTTGTGTATTGTATTTTTTGGTATTGAGACGACTTTGTCTTGGCTACTCTGTTTCTCTGGTTCCCTTGACCAGGCATTGTTTCTCGTTTAGTGATTTTCTGGCTTCCCTTGACCTTGGCTTGTTCTGAAATTCCTGTTATTTATCCTGTCTACCCGGCCACTTCAAGGACCTGTTTAGGGACCTTTTTTCTGTCTCTATTCCTCTGGAGGAGTCTGCGTATTGGGTATCACGTTACAGTAGGAACATGAGGTGTCATGATGGCGGAACGAAAAAGGTTTGAGTCCTGTAAGACTTAGTGTCAGAGAACTGAAGAGAGGGAATTTACAATGGCACGGAGAAGGGCCATAAAGGAATTCGAGACCTGATGCCAAACAACAGCTACAGTGCCTTGCAAAAGTATTCACCCCATGACCTTTTTACCTATTTTGTTACATTACAGCCTTAAGTTCAATGTTTTATTAATCTGAATTGTATGTGATGGATCAGAACACAATAGTCTAAGTTGGTGAAGTGAAATTAGAAAAATATATACAAAAAACTATTTTTTAGAAATAGAAAACAGAAAATTGGCATATATTCACCCCCTTTGTTATGAAGCCCCATAAAAAGCTCTGGTGCAACCAATTACCTTCAGAAGTCACATAATTAGTGAAATAATGTCCACCTGTGTGCAATCTAAGTGTCACATGATCTGTCATTACATATACACACCTTTTTTGAAAGGCCCTAGAGGCTGCATCACCTAAGCAAGAGGCACCACTAACCAACCACTGCCATCAAGACAAAGGAACTCTCCAAACAAGTAAGGGACAATGTTGTTGAGAAGTACAAGTCAGGGTTAGGTTATAAAAAAATATCCAACTCTTTGATGATCTCCAGGAGCACCATCAAATCTACCATAACCACATGGAAAGTACATGGCACAACAGCAAACCTGCCAGGAGAAGGCTGCCCACCGAAACTCACGGACCGAGCAAGGATGGCATTAATCAGAGAGGCAGCACAGAGTCCTAAGGTAATCCTGGAAAAGCTGCAGAGTTCCACAGCACAGACTGGAATATCTGTACATAGGACGACAATAAGCCGTACGCTCCATAGAGTTGGGCTTTATGGCAGAGTGGCCAGAAGAAAGCCATTACTTTCAGCAAAAAACAAAATGGCAAGTTTTGAGTTTGCGAAAAGGCATGTAGGAGACTCCCAAAATGTATGGAGGAAGGTGCTCTGGTCTGATGAGACTAAAATTTAACTTTTCCGCCATCAAAGAAAAAGCTTTGTCTGGCGCAAACCCAACACATCACATCACCCAAAGAACACCATCCCCACAGTGAAACATGATGGTGGCAGCATCATGCCGTGGGGATGTTTTTCAGCAGCCGGGACTGGGAAACTGATCAGAGTTGAGGGAAAGATGGATGGTGCTAAATACAGGGATATTCTTGAGCAAAACCTGTACCACTCTGTGCATAATTTGAGCCTAGTCAAAGCCCAGACCTCAATCCAATAGAAAATCTGTGGTCAGACTTAAAGATTGCTGTTCACAAGTGCAAACCATTCAACTTGAAAGAGCTGGAGCAGTTTTGCAAGGAGTAGGCAAAAATCCAAGTGGTAAGATGTGGCAAGCTCATAGAGACTTATCCAAAGCGACTTTTAGCTGTGATTGCCAGAAAAGGTGGCCCTACAAAGTATTGACTTTAGGGGGGTGAATAGTTATGCACATTGACTTTTTCTGTTATTTTGTCCTATTTGTTGTTCGCTTCACAATAAATAATAAAAAAAAAACATCTTCAAAGTTGTGGGCATGTTCTGTAAATTAAATGATTCAAATCCTCAAACAATCCATATTAATTCCAGGATGTGAGGCAACAAAACACGAAAAATGCCAAGGGGGGTGAATACGTTTGCAAGACACTGTATACCAGGTATGCCACACAACAAGGTAGCTGCATCTTGTGCCTAGGGCCCACAAATCACAGAGCAGGTCCTTAGGTGTTTGCAATAGGTCTAAGACATCTCAATAACCCCTGAAATATTCCAGCCAACTAGTTGCAGTTTATCTTGTATCATAGGATGATGGTTCCCTTTGGGATTAGTGATAAGAAGAGGATATACAGGAATCGCCAGAGCCTCTATGATCAATAATTCCAATACATCTGTAACCAAAGGTTGGCTCTGCCATAACTCTGCGTATCAGTCACTCCTGGAGAAAGGAGTTGCAACTATCTGGATCCAAGGGCCAACTGAAGTATCATTGCACTTGTTAGTTTGTCCGCGACGTCAACAGGTAATGGATATGAACTTTGTTCAGCTAATGAAAATTTTTTCTGTCCAACTTCCTATTGCTGGCATCACCACTGTATCTAGAGAACCAGTCCTGACCGTTGTTCATGTGCAACAGTATACAACAATTCGACAAATCCTTTGCCAAGCTCCAAATGGCAAATGAGCCTGCAATCAATACAAGACAATTGATGTGTAAATGACCTAAAACTTACCCATGCTCCTCCTGTCAAGCAATCTGTGCAAGTGGCTCCCCAGCCCCACAGTCTGCCATTTGAATACAGAATAAAATCTGGCTTTGGTCTAAATATTGCTCAACCATTCTAAGTTTGCATATGAAGTAGCCACCACTTGACTTCTGCGTGTATCTCCTGAGTCACTGATATAGACTAGTCATAGGAAGGGTGTATCCAGAGACAGCTTTCAGGCATTGCATTGCCCAATAGTAAAGGGGACCTGGGAAGACCGCCTGGGTTGATGAGGAGTCCTACTATCCTGGTTAAGAGCCGTAGAAGAATTGCCTTGTGAGCTAACACCCTTTGTATTTGTTAATGGATTTTGATCTTTTGGTGAGGCAATTTTAGTATGCAGGAAAGGAAGTCTATTTTAAACCCTATACATTATATCAACTGTGTTGGAGACAGAGCTGATTTGTATGGATGGAATTCTTACTTGACCAGTAAAATGTTGCTGAAGAATCCTCTTCCGAATCTGGAGCTTTTTGGATAGCGCCTTTGCAGAACAAAAAGAATATTGCCTTTTTTTTAATTAGTTGTTTGCTGAAGTCGATTTGTCTGTAAGGGCAGCGGTTTCTGATCCTGGATCGGCGATGAGTGGAACTCGATTATGTAGCCCTGGACTGTCTGAAAAATCTATGTGTCCATAGAAAAGAGTATCCAATTCTGTAAGAAAAGGAAAACTTGACTTGCAGTTAGACTGGAAATAAGGATCTAAAACGATAAGGCTTACCTGCTGGCATACTTTGTCTCAGTATATCTATTGACTGGCTGGAAATTTCAGATTTTATCGTTATGAAATACAAATTTTTCAAGGAGGTGACAGTGCCGCTTCAAGGATCAAATAATTAAAGAAGCTTTGTCACTTCTGAGTATTCTAAGATATTGTAAGACACACTAGGACAACCTTGGCTTATGGGCAAGTCTGAGGTTGACAAGAGATGACAAAAAGGAGTCACTTTGCATTCAAGTTTTGTCAAAACCCAGAAGACATCACAAGTGACAGCTGGAGGAATCAGGCATTATTTGGTCGTTATAAGAGGTGATCTCACGGGATTTTCTGTAGACCTCAGTGTTGTACTCTTAGAGTACAGTGTGTGAGAGTACAGGCTTCATCTGCCAGGAGCTGGACAGTCCCCAGGAAGAAGATGGCGTCAGCCACGTGGGACAGCTTTACATTAGTGTACCTAGCTTCCTCTGCAGCCCCTCCATAAACAGAGCTGTCACCTTTGGTTGTCTTTGCAAAATAAACCCATTCACAGCATCTATAACCCCTTAGCGACCTAGGACGGTTCAGGACCATCATCGGCATTTTTGCGTTGCAGACCGATGACGGTCCTGAACCATCCTAACGGTCTCCGTTACTTACCTGATCGCCGTCGTTCCCCCAGCGGCGATCAGCGTGGCTCCCGGTGTGGGGAGACTGCCTCCAGCCCAGACAGTCTCCCCACACTGAATTAGGACCCCTGTGGCCATGTGATCGCTTAACACAGCGATCACATGGTCACAATAGGTGTCCTAGTGTCTGCCTGCAGGGGGACTGCCTGTGCTGACAGGCAGTCTCCCTGCTAGTGTAAAATCAGAAAAAAAAATAAAGTTAATGTTAATAAAAAATAAAAAAAATTATATATGTGTATATAAATATGATATATAGACATATATTATATTTATATAATATATGTCTATATATCATATATATAATGTCATATTAAGTGTATTTTTATATTAATATGTACTTATATTAATATAAAAATACACTTATAATTAAATTACACACGTATATATATAATATATATAATAACTATATATATTGTATATATATATTATTATAAAATATAAATAATAAAGTAATTTAAATTAAATAAAAAAAATTTAAATAATAATAAAAAAATTAAAAAAAATTATATCTATATGAAATTTTATTCTAACTGTATTTTAAAATTAATATATATATATTTATATCAAAATACACTTAGAATGAATTTGTATATATATCTATGTATATAAAAATAAATAAAAATAATAAGAAATATACATATGTCCATATACAAAATTACATAAATAATTATATAAATATACACGTAGACTTCAGATATATAAATATGCATATATATTTAAATTCTACGTGCGTATTTATGTAATAGTTTTACATAATTCAGTAATTTTATTGATTGCAATTTAAGGGACCTGCCTGCCAACCCAGGCCGAAATTCCAGAGAATTGAATTTGCTAGCACTGTATTTTACCCTGTAACGTTCTACGACACCCTAAAACCTGTACATGGGGGGTACTGTTTTACTCGGGAGACTTCGCTGAACACAAATATTAGTGATTCAAAACAGTAAAACATATCACAGCGATGATATTGTCAGTGAAAGTGACTTTTTTTGCATTTTTCACACACAAACAGCACTTTTACTGATGATATAATTGTTGTGATACGTTTTCCAGTTTTTAAACACTAATATTTGTGTTCAGCAAAGTCACCTGAGTAAAACAGTACCCCCCATGTACAGGTTTTATAGTATTTTTGAAAGTTACAAGGTCAAATATATGGGTCAAATATTTTTACATTGAAAATGGCCAGGTTGGTTACGTTGCCTTTGAGAGCGTATGGTAGCCCAGGAATGAGAATTACCCCATGATGGCATACCATTTGCAAAAGAAGACAACCCAAGGTATTGCAAATGGGGTATGTCCAGTCTTTTTTAGTAACCACTTGGTCACAAACACTGGCCAAAATTAGCGTTCAATTTAGTTTTTTTACTTTTTTCACACACAAACAAATATGAATGCTTAGTTTGGCCAGTGTTTTCGACTAAGTGGCTACTAAAAAAGACTGGACATACCCCATATTGAATACCCTGGGTTGTCTACTTTAAAAAAAATATGTACATGTGGGGTGTTATTCAGAGATTTATGACAGATAATAGTGTTACAATGTCACTATTGATAAATTTAAAAAATTTATGTTTTGAAACCGCAATATTCTACTTGTACCTATAGCCCTATAACATGCAAAAAAGCATGTAAACACGGGGTATTTTTAAACTCAGGACAAAATTTTGAATCTATTTAGCAGTTTTTTTAATTCGCTTTTGTAGATGAGTAAAAGATTTTTCAAGTAAAAGTCAAAAAACATGTATTTTTTTCAATTTTTCATCATATTTTTTTATTTTTTTTTAATTAAAATACATGAGATTATATAAATAATGGTATGTAAAGAAAGCCCCTTTTGTCCTGAAAAAACAATATATAATTTGTATGGGAACAGTAAATGAGAGAGCGGAAAATTCCAGCCAAACACAAACACCACAAAAGTGTAAAAATATGCCTGGTCGCAAATGTACAACATCGCAAAAACAGTCCAGTCCTTAAGGGGATAATATTATTAGAATGTCTTATTTATAAAGTAACACCAAACAGTGCAGTGTTTTTTTTTTAAATCAATGGGCCTATTTTATGGGCATGGGCCTGGTGCTGCATATCCACCATATCCTATGTTAATCCAGCACAGGAAGGACCCCGAGTCCATAACAGGGCCAGATAAGTCAAACCATGTGTAAACGGTTTGTTAACTCTCTGTGGGATACATCATGTGACTCCTGGCACCCTAACCACTATAACACACTGCAGAGGTCATAGTTCTTCCCTTTAAAATATAGTATTAACAGCACTTTTATAAAAAAAATGTATACAAGATGGGTTTTGAGGTAAATTGAGATTGATGGTAAATAATCAGCAATTGTTTGGGGATATTCAATTTGCATTTGTCTCAATCATTCCTAGGGTAGAATTTAAAGAACATGAGCAATCATACGATGTTGCAGTAATAATAACATTAGACTCTAAAAAAAAAATGTGTTTCAAATTGGCTATGCACACAATCTGTGATGATTTCGGTTGGTTATTTTTTCCACTTGGTTTTTAATTTGGAGATTTAGAGACTCTTCTCTTAGCAATATTATTTAGGAACTCAATTTGGGGAAACATTCAAATTTATTTAGCAGTGCAAGGATTAGGTTTTTTTTTTTTCCAAGCTGGCCCTAACTCCTATGTAGAAAATATCACATCAGTAATTAGAAATCCCTTTCATGTAGCTGTGTTTAACATATGCTATGTCTGCACATATCCCTCTCTTTTCTATCCAGGGAAAAGAGCCCTGCAGATCTATAAACTCATCAGTGAAATGCCATATTCATAAAAATTCAATTTTTTTCTTCAAAAACGTGAAATGGATAGCCTGCAGCTCCTAATGTTACGATGCAATAATGTAATACTATGATGAACAAATTGTATACATTGCTGATTGATGTTTAATGAAACTAAAGACTGGATATGCAAAACAAAGATTATCATTTTGATTTTATATATTTTTAGAAACAATCAATACAAAATCATGCTAGCTCTGTAGATAGGTCCACTGACTAGCACTAGCAGACCTTTATCAATATAAACACACACATGGTACCATGTGTAAAACAGAAACACACAGTCCTGGGGATCAAAGATGCACCGCTGATGGCTTTTGCAATAACTAATGCACCCTGCTGCCTCCCCCCACACAGATGTGTCTGTATTAGCTACTCTGTATAGCTCAGCTCCCCCTCCTCCTGCATCAGCCCCAGCACTGACTGATTCTGCTGGAAAACACAGAGCAGGCATAGGAGAAGCCCTGCTGGAATAGCTGCAGCTACTAAGCTAGGAGGCATCCATTTACAAACAACATGGAATGGGTGCATTAGGACGAAGACATGCATCCCCCATGGTCCTTGCTGTGATGTCTGTGCTGGGATGCTGCTCCAGTGATGCTCCTATTTGTGTCTTGCTGCACTTGCTTTGCAGCTAATGATTAATTGCACTGCTCTGGGGCCTCTACTGCGCATGCTGCAGGTAGAGACAGTGCTCCTCCATCTTATGCTTCCTGCAAATGCAGTTACCAGGACACATCCTTTGGAAAAAAAAATAAAAAATAAAAGGAAGAAGTCTGGGCAGCTTATTTATTTGATGTCCATCTGCCTGACTCTGAAGATTGGAATCTGATAACAGTATCCACAGAACAAAAAGGAAAGACAAACAATGCAAGGCTATAGGCAGCCTGGAACACTGTGATTCTTCTTTCTGGGACATTTCCTCCATCATGCATGGTTAAAGGGACATTAGCATTTGCATATTGCTTTTAAAATGGATGTTTATTTATGTAAACAGTGCATCTGAAGACAAGCTGTGTTCTGTGAGCAGTTAACCAGTGGGTAAGTGATGTAATCCTATCCCTTCTACTGCATTACGTTTGTAAATATGTTTAGTTTTTTAAATCTTATGCTTTGCTGTGACGCCTTTCTAGGGACTTTAATTTTTGGTTTAGGGTATGGCAATGCTGGCTAATTGATGTAGTCAGGCAATAGCTGCAAGATACAGCAAGAGGGAGGAGGCTAAAACCCTCCAGGCAGCTACTGTTGTGATTCACGAGGAACTCAATAAAGTTTTATGGATTTGAATATCTGCCGCAGGGTGTGCTGTGAGTTGTAGTCCTCCGTTTTGTACTCGACTACAAGGCGTGATGTCACTCTGCTGTAAGCTCTGGGATGAAATACTGTATCCATGAGCTCAGGCTTTTTACATTGCAGCAGTATAAACAATGTTTATTGATGTAATTTGTTTATTACAATTTTGGGTACAAAAACAAACAAACAAACAAACAAAATAGTTATTTGTTTTATAAAATGTAACAACATGCTAGAAGAAAGATTATGCACCCTATTGTTTTTTAATTTATGGTCTAGTGAAGAGGCAGGCTTTAATATATGTAGCATTAAATCATATAAATAATTGAGTATTGTCTCAAATTAATAATGACATTACATCAATAGCATGTGGTGAAATCCTATGCATACTGAAAGGCTTCTTCAGCCAGAGGACCACTACTATAAACCCTACCTGTTTTGAAGTTCATCTAGTGGTTTCTATTAAACCATACTGCAATCATTCTTTGATGTGTAGCGTTGCAGATAACTCACTCTACATTATTGGTGAGCTTGGAATGTTGGTAAGGCTTGGAATGCTAAATGTTGACATTGTTACAAAATTGATCTAGTATTTTGACATCTCAATGAGAACTGTTTGGATGGATAACCAATATGGAGGAACAGGATACATACATATCCTATACCAGCAAAAAAGTGGCATATTCATGCATATTGTCATGCGTTTTTAGACATTCTATTAGATGACCCCTAGCCCACGGTGTGTGTATTTGTCACGATGGGATCTTGAAGATTGAAAATCGTTTACTTGCCCATTGTTTCTATTCTAAAATATATTAAAATAACACTCTAATCTCTTTTAGAAGGTAATTGAGTGTCCACTTTTTCTTACCTTATAAAAGTGCCTATTTTAAGAGAAATATACACTTTTATAAAGCATTTATCTTTCGTAATCCAGACTGTGAGGGTGTCCTTCCTGACTTATTTCAAGCACTTACTCAAAGATGGTTTGAGGATTCTGATAGAGAGGCATTGGGTGCAGTACTTCTTTATTATGAGAAGCATTGGGTTGACCATAGAGATCCTCCCTGAAGATGATCTCACAGAACAGAGGGGATTTGTGGCAAAGAGATCTGGATTAAAGGTAAGTTACTTTTTTTATTTTGTAGGAAAGAGGGACAAGAAATCTAAATATGCAACCTTTCTGGAATTATATATAAATGTATTTTTTTATATTGCTACAGTGTTCCTTTAACCCCTTAAGGACACATGACATGTGTGACATGTCATTATTACCTTTTATTCCAGAAGTTAAGTCCTTAAGGGGCTAAAGGGGTACTTTGAGCACCATAGCCACTATTATACACTATTAGTTATTTAAGCAGACAAACAAGTTTAGCTTAATGAAACAATTTTGGTGTATACTGTATAGATTATGCCCAAGTTGTCTTACTATGCAATTCCCTGCCAGTTAGGAGTTAAATCAATTTTGCATCTGTTTATGCAGCCCTAACCACACATTCCCTGACTGTGACTCATATGCATACATTATCAGTGAAAAAAAATGGTTTTGTATTCAATCTCATATTACTGCACAGTGTGTTTACATTAGAAGTTATCTCCTGCTCTGTTAATTGAACCTTAATCACACACACAAACAATGATGTTGCAGGCTCTAACGGGCTATCAACAGAGATTAAAAAAAGGGACGTTTTAGCCGCGAGGCAAACAAGGCATTTGCCTTGGGCGGCATTTTCCAGGGGGCGGCAAAAAACGCCACCCCCAAATGCCCAGGGCAAATGTCTTGTTAGCCTTGTTAGCTAACTAAGCTGGGCTGGGCGGGCGGCACTGGCGGGCAGCGAGCGGCTGGCGAGGGAGCCTAGGGCAGCACAAAACCAGGATACACCACTGACCGAAATAAAAAATTCTGGACTGAAACCGAAAATTCGGGATGCCCTTGGCTGGAAACCAAAACTGAAAATGACTTTTTTCCCCCAAATGATTTGTGTAGGACCTAGAGCGTGACTGGTGACAGTGACTGAGGGAGGCGGTGACAGAGTGACAGTGACTGAGGGAGGGGGTGACTGGTGACAGTGACTAAGGGAGGGAGTGACAGAGTGAGGGAGGGGGTGACTGGTGGCACAGTGAATGAGGGAGCGGGTGACTGGTGACAGTGACTGAGGGAGGGGGTGACTGGTGACGGTGCCTTGTGGCTTTCGGCCCAGAATTTTCTTTTCAGTGCATCCCTACTTTCTTATCTTAGGTTATGTAGTGTGTGTAGGGAATATAGTGAGGTGTGGGAAAGGGATGTAGTGTGTATGTGTGTAGGTTTTATAGTGTGTGTAGGGAACATGGCGTGGTGCAGTATAGAGATGTAGTGTGTAGGTTATTTAATGTGTATGGAACATGGTGTGGTGTGGGATAGGGATGTAGTTTGTATGTTTCTAGGTTATGTAGAGTGTGTAAGGCACATAGTGTGGAGTGGGCTAGGGATGTAGTGTGTGTAAGGCACATAGTGTGGGGTGTGATAAGGATGTAGGGCACATCGAGTGGGGTGGCAGGGATGTAGTATGGGTAGGACACATAGTGTGGGGTGGGGTAGGAATGGCATAGTGAGGGGGTGACAGGTGGCAGATTGAGGGGGTGGCAGTGAGGGAGTAACAGGTGACAGAGTGACGGGATACCAGGTGGCAGAGTGATGGGGTGGTAGTGAGGGAGGGGGTGACTGGTGGCAGAGTGAGAGGGTGACATAGTAAGGGAGGTGGTGCCTAGTGGCAGAATGTGGGAGGGAGTGGGTGACTGGTGACAGAGTGAGGAAGTGAGGAGGTGACTGGTGGCAGAGTGAGGGAGGAAGGGGGTGACTGGTGACAGAGTGAGGGGTGACTGGTGACAGAGTGAGGGAGTGACTGGTGTTAGAGTGAGGGAGGAAGGGGGTGACTGGTGACAGACTGAGGGGTGACTGGTGACAGAGTGAGGGAGGGAGTGACTGGTGTCAGAGTGAGGGAGGGAGAGGGTGACTGGTGACAGAGTGAAGGATGGAGTGACAGAGTGACTGAGAGAAGGGGTGACAGAGTCATGGAGGGAGTGACTGGTGACAGTGACTGAGTGAGGGAGGGAGTTACTAGTGACAGTGACTGGGGCAGAGTGCCTGAGGGAGGGGGTGACAGAGTGACAGTGACTGAGGGAGGGGGTGACTGGTGACAGTGACTAAGGGAGAGGGTGACAAAGTGACTGAGGGTGACGGTGACTGGTGACAGTGACTGAGGAGGGGGTGACTGAGTGAGAAGGGGGTGACTAGTGACAGTGACTGAGGGAGGGGGTCACTGGTGGCAAAGTGACTGAGGGAGAGGGTGACTGGTGAAAGTGACTGAGGGAAAGGAAATACCTTTTTTTTTTTTCATTGCCTGGTGGTCCAGTATCCTGGCTCCCTGGTGGTTCAGTGGTCTGTCTCTCCAGTCTTCAGCTCCACCAGGTGTGAGCTGCAGACTGTGCTATATCTTGCGATATCCAGAAGTCAGAGTGCTGCCGTGGTAACCCGCAGCAATGTTCTGATTGGCCAGAGATCACGAGATACAGGACAGTCTGCAGTTCACACCCAGCTAAGCTGAGTTTGTGTGTCTGTACTGCAGACTGTACTGGCTCTCTCCCCGGGCAGACGGGAGGGGCCTTGCACCCGGCTGCACACGGGGCAAGCCGTCAGCCCCCTGCCAATGCCAAGTCGGGACCGAGGACCTGACAAATCACTCTGCTCTAAGGCACTCTGCTACTAGCCTACAGCAGGGCTGAAAAGATAAAACTACCTGCCCGGAACTGCATGTCCCGGGCGTTAGACGATAGTAATTGTGCATCCCTGGTAATTTTCAGCACATTTGAGCCTGTTTTCGGACGAAATGGGATGGACCTATTTTCGGACGAAATGGGATGGACCCATTTTCGGACGAAATGGGATGGACCCATTTTCGGACGAAATGGGATAGACCCATTTTCGGACTAAATTTCGGTGCATCCCTTTAAGAAAGTCTAAGTTAAAGATGCTGTACAATAAAGAACGTTTGACAACTAGATATATTTTTACATGAAGTGTGTAAGGAACCTGTGCAAGTCACAGTTTGGGGAGGCGTGGCAAGGGCTGTATAAACAGAGTATTTAACTCTTAAAAGGCAGAGAATTCAACAGTGAGAATACAGAGGCATGATCTATACACCAAAACTGCTTCATTAAACTAAATTTGCTTTGGTGGTTAGAGTGCCCTTTTAATTTACTAGTTGAGAATGTCAGCTGATACTTTCAGTCAACGAATGATGTGCAATGTTGGACAAAATTGATATTGCTAAGGTAATATGGGAACTTTTGCAGTATCGCAGAAGATTGGAAATAGTACAGAGGGTATCCAGGTATTTGTCAAACTGTTCTAAAATGGTTTCACTCATTACTATAGGACAGTGCCAGAGTAAAAGAGTAGTCATGGGTCAAAACTCCATCTAATAAAGGTGGTAATAGTACTTTGGCTTTATGGGATTCTCATGAGAAATTAGTTTTTCCATCAAAATATAATTGCGTGAAGTTTTCATTGACTTTGAGTTGCAGATAGAGCTTATTAGTAAAGTGCAAATGGTAATAGCACTGTAAGGATCAGGTCATTTAAAGTGCAGACTCTTGATTCATACTAGTAAAAAAAAAGAGAGAAAAGGCACAGAATATAGATAATAGTGAACACCATAGTAAAAGTGCTAAAAACACAAGAATAGGTAATCAGGCCAAGTGGTAGAGGGAGTAAAAGTACCCAAATACACGGTAGTTAAAAACCATAATTCTTAGTAAATAGCTCTAAAACTGGAAAGAGAGTCACCAATCCTCTCTGGGTAATAAATATGCAAATGTCACTTATATGAATAAGATGAGGAGGTTCCAGGAGCTATAGTAAAACACAATACAAAAACAATAAAGATAAAATACATACAAATTTATGAAATCTATAATATATGAGATCTAGCTCAAAATCATGTGTTCTCAAAAATGATAAGTAAAATAGTCCAAATGTCCACAGAAAAGTCACATACAAAAGTTACTAATGAGGGAATCTAACAAAATAAAATTAGTCCACTGAATGTAGCATATGGGTAAACACACTAAGCTATGTATATGAGAAATGCACAGCAGTGTGGTCCATATGACAATATGATATTATTTACTGAAAGGCAAATAAAATATAATGAAATAAATAGAGACCAGAAAGCAACACAGTACTAAATCAAATGTGTGCAGAAAAACCATACTGGGGAACATGAAAAGGAGAGAGGTGCTCCTTAAAAAATCCAAACAGCTTTAATGAGTCAGTGATAAAATCAGAATAAATAAAAACTCACCTTGCTGACTCTGCCCCTAATCTACTTTCTTGGCTGACATAATCAGAATCTCAGCCAATCACAATATGGATAGGGATGATATCAGCCAAGGATCTGGGGCCTCCTTGAATAAATGCATTTCTATGATGAAAGTTCAATGTCCCCATTCAGAGCATGGAGATGCTGAACGGCAGTGCAGCACTGACCCAGGAAGCACCTCTAGTTGCCGTCTGAGGAGTGGCCACTGGAGATGTCCCTAGGCTGTAATGTTAACATTGCCATTTCTCTGAAAAGTGTTTGCAGCAAAAAGACTGCAGGGACTGACTGTACTCACCAAAACAACTCCATTAAGCTGTAATTGTTCTGGTGACTATAGTGTCCCTTTAAATAAGGAAAAGATTTCTTCAGAATAATAAAAATACATGATTCATGACAGAGTCAAAACAAGTAAAGGGAACGGAGATGTTCCAACAAAGCACTGTCACTCACAATACAATGCTCCTCTATGAGGAGCATTGGATTAGAACATTGGTGGTTTGTATTTCTAACGTTATTGTGTTCCTTTAATAATTATCAGTATTATATTACCATCGCCAGGTGAGCATAGGTAGTCAAGATCCCCATAACTGCCCACACATTTGTGTATAACCTTTCCTGTAGAAGCCAAAAAGGGCAAAATATTCAACTTTTTGAAAGGAAAATGACACAAACAGTATAGTACACAAGTATTTTATTTCTGTGTAAATAATGCAGATAGATACATTCTCTGACAGCTGTCAGGAAACAAGTTACACTGTACTAGTTAAATCTGATCTGTATATCACAGGGGTGGCAGTAAGAGAAAGAGTGCCACTGCAGAGATACATGCTCTTGTGCCCCATTCAGACTGCAAAACCCAAGGTAACTGATCTCAATATACAGTTTTAAGAGAACATATATCTTGACGAGACGTTCACTTCCATGTATGATGTCCTTTGTTGGTCCCTAGACCAGTGGTTCTCCCCAAGGTCCTCAAGGTAGACCAATGGTTTGGCTGATATCCCTATAGGAACAGAATTAGAGAATGTCTAAATCCTGGGCTGAATAGTGAAAATTTAGAATGCAAACTAAAAGTGCTTTAAAGTTCAGGCCTTATGCTATTAGCCAGGTTTGAAAGTTACTAGCCACCGCAAGTCTGCAAGGTTCATGGAATACACACCAGGGGTGAATTTCTACTCACCAAGGCTACATTTTCACTAGCCAATGGCTAGTGTTGGGTGGAAATTAATTTATTCAATTAATAACATATTCTAGTTGTCAGATACTCGGGAGTGTATGTTTTTGGGATAACCAGTTGGTGATATTGATGGTTGAATCATGAATCATGGACATGTAATTCTCTTGTGCATTGGTACTCCCCATTTTTGGACCAAGGCATGCTTAAATTAAAAAACTATTTTTCAAGACATAACTGCTTTTTTTTGCCTACCTCAACAGATTATACTATCACATTTAACCAGGGCAGGACAGGAAAAATAATTTGGCCCAGGCATTTTTAAAATCTAAGTGGCCCAGTGAGAAGGGGGCCATATAGGGTGGTGTTTTGTCGTCACCAGTGACAAGCATGCCAACTTTCAAAGTGAGCATTTTGATTCTTCCTGGGCAGCCCATGTGCATGACTGATGAATAGCTCTTCCAACCGAAAAAGGCCCTGTATTTGTTCTACGCAGCACAAGCAAATGTAATGATACACTTGTAACTTTTCCCTGGTGTCTCCATAAGTGACATACCAGAGGACAAAAGGGCCAGGAAAGTGTATTGTGAATGTGTTTGGAGGCTGCTTGTGGGACTGTGTGTGTGTGTGTGTGTACAGTGAGCTGATTGTGGTGTGGTATTTTATGTTAATAGGTTGGTTTCAGTTGGGTTTTGTTTGTGGTGTAAAATGTGTGTCTTGACCCTGTAGAGAGTGAGAGTGTGTTTGTATAGGAAGCCTAATGTATAGGGGATGTAGCGAATGTGTTCATAGAGACTTTAGTGTATGCGTCTATAGGTAATGTAGTGTCTATGTTTGCATTCAGTGTGGGTGGCAATGTGTGTAGGGATGCAGTATGTGTGTGGGTTGCAGTGTGTGAGGGTTGCAATGTGTGTGTGTGAGGGGTAAAATGTTTGCGTGAGGGGTGCAGTATCTGTGTTAGGGGTGCAGAGTGGGTGAGGGGTACAATGTGTGTGTGAGAGGTGCAGTGTGTGCATGTGTGAGGGCTATAATGTGTGCTGGGGGTCTAGTGTGTGTGTGAGCGGTGCAGAATGTGAATGTGTGTTTGGAGATGATGTGGCAGGGGGGCAGATGTTTTTTAATTCAAAAAAATAATAAACTTTACATCTCCTTTCCCTTCTTATCTTTGCCCAGGGAGGGGAAACATTCTAAATTCTGGTGGTGAGGGAACACTCGCGAGGTCAGAGAATTGCAGGGGTTGCCATGGGAACGCTCCGACCTTGTAAGAGTTTATTTTTCAGGATTGGGCGGAGCTGTAGGTTAGAACCCCCAGATCCTACTCTTTGGATTTTAGAGTTAGTGGGCTGGTAAGTGGCCTCATGGCACACAGCAGGGCCGTCTCTTGGACAGAGCTAGTGTCACGATTACTATATAACCCAACATTCAGAACTATGTAATACACAATGAACAAGGATAATGTAAACCGGGCCTTAGAATGGCCGGACTTAACGTAATAAAGAATGGTCAAAATACTAGCCGAGGTCAGGGACACAGAAAGTGACACAACGAGGAAACAAGTCAAAAGCCAAAACTCAAGGATACCAGAAATACAGGAAAGTCAAAATACAAGCCAAAGTCAAATACCAAAAAGAACTACAATAGGAACGCACTCTCTGTTAACCAACTAGTGAATACCACGACAGGGCACTGACCAAATGTTATTTTGAGTTTAAATAACCCTCCTAAGGGTTATTGGTTGTATATAACCTTTGACCCCAAAACTTGCGTGCGCATCGTTTGCATAACGTCACACTCAAGTCGGCACCATCTTTGTTGAGGACGGAGGCGGGTCTACATTGTTTCATGGGACCGCAGCGGCCTGCGTTCATTAGAATGCCCCACCGGTCGGGGATCGCTACACGAAGGGGGCTGAATGGCAAGCTGACTTGCCTTAGATAAGTTTTTTATTATTTTTACAGTGTGAAAGCAGCGATCGGATGCGGCCACGCTGTATGGAGGTGAGGGGGACGTGACAGCTAGCCCATTAAGTTTGTCTTTCCTAAGAACATGACATAAGTTAGTGTCCCCAGACAGATGAGCTATGAACAGTGTTCAAAGTGAGCACTACTACTAGCCATTTAAATACTACAGCTGAGCAATATCGCCCAGCCTCTCTATTATTTCACTCACCATTCTCCAGGGCAAAAAAAAAAGGATCTGACTGACAGGAGAGCTATGAGTGTCACTGTCCACCCCCACAGCCTCACACTGATCCCTCTAAAGTTTCAGGGAGACCCTGGGGAGGTCTCCCTGCTTGCCCACTGCAGCACTATCAATGCTGGCTCTGCAGAGGGAATGCCTTGAGAGGTGGATTAGGAATGGGATTATAGGTAGGATTATGAGTAAAAATATGAGTTATAATCCTTAGAGGTTGGATTAGGAGTTGGTTTAAGGTTTGAATTAGGGGTTGGATTATGAGTTGGATTAAAGGTTGTAGTAGGGGTTGGATTAGGGAAAAATTTATACATTGTTGTACTTGAGAAGAGTAGCAGAATATAAATATGCAGTGTTTGCAGTAGTGGGACACACTACTTTTGATTATAGTCCGAAATAATAAACATGTACTAATTTGGCTTTGTGATTAAAAGGTTAAATGAAAAGTGTCAAAATTCTCTTAATTACATGGCCTGGGGTGTACCTTCTACTAGGGATCGACCGATATTGGGTTTTTTAGAGCCGATACCGATAAACTGTGAACTTTCAAGCCGATAGCCGATAATTTGCCAATATTTTGTACATTTACCATTTTGAAAAAATAAACTATTTCTAGGTAAATGCGCAAAATATACATGCCACATGTAGTGAATGCAGTGTATTAGACAGGGGAGCTGTGTGTGTGTGTAGTGCATGCAGTGTGTGTTTGTGTAGTGTGTATATAATGAATGCAGGGTGTGTTTGTGTAGTGTGTCTAGTGAATGCAGTGAGTGTGTATAGTGAGTGTGTAGTGTGTAGTCTGTATAGTGAATGCAGTGAGTGTTTGCGTAGTGTGCGTTTTGTGAATGTAGTGTGTAGTGTGTGTGTGTGTGTATAGTGAATGTAGTGTGCATAAAGTGAATGCAGTGTGTGTATAGTGAATGCAGTGTGTTTGTGTAGTGTGTGTATATAATGCAGAGTGTGTGTATATAATGCAGTGTTTGTGTAGTGTGTTTATATAATGCAGAGTGTGTGTTTGTGTAGTGTGTGTATATAATGCAGAGTGTGTGTGTGTTTGTGTAGTGTGTATATATAATGCAGAGTGTGTGTAGTGTGTGTATATAATGCGTAGTGTGTGTATATAATGCAGAGTGTGTGTGTGTTTGTGTAGTGTCTGTATATAATGCAGAGTGTGTGTGTGTGTGTGTTTGTGTTTATATAGTGAATGCAGTGTATGTGTGTTTGTATAGTGTGTGTTTGTATAGTGTGTGTGTTTGTATAATGTGTGTGTTTGTGAAGGCATGTTTTTTTTATTTTTATATTTATATGTTTTATTTAAATTTTTTGTCCCCCCTCCCTGCTTGTTACCTGGCCAGGGAGGGGACTATGGCATTCCCTAGTGGTCCAGTGGCATGGACTTTGCAGTGGGGGGCAGCAGCAAGCTGTTACTTACCTCCCAGCAGCTCCCAGTGTAAATCTCGCGGCTTGCGTGCCGTGCGGAGCATTACCGTGGGACGGCCGCGAGACTCGCGAGATTTACCCTTGGAGCTGAAGAGAGATGCTGGGAGGTAAGTAACAGCTTGCTGCTGGGCCCCCCCAGGACTGCCGGGCTTGTAATGGGCCCGGCGGTCCTGGTATGTATTATCGGCAATATCGGTATCTCTATTGGCCAATACCGGTATTGCCGAAAATAACGAATATCGGCCGATAATATCGGTAAAACCGATAATCGGTCGATCCCTACTTTCTACAAATATATACATGTAGTGGTTTTTGGATTCTGTGACTACTATTTAACGTGTAATTTCAGTTTTCCAAATTTTGCAACATTTTAGCTTTAAAACCATAATTTACTCCTTGCAGCATTCATTTTATAACTTCTAAACATTAATTTAAATCCTAGGCATATTGGGCATTTTAGCAATCAGGACTAATTGGTGAATCTATTTCGTTCATTTTCTTTATTTGAACTTGGTTTGTAGAAATTATTGCATATGAAACTGAGAATTTTTTTTAGTTTTTTCTATTTTTGTTTCCCATTTTTCTTGGGTGGTGCGGACAGCCCCAGTGCTCAGTAGATAGATTGGGCGTTCAGTGCTTGCTCTGCCCTAGACCCATTCCCATATTGTTAGACTCCACCCCCTAACAAAATTAGAGGAGCGGGATCAACCGGAGGGGGCAGTGCTTTTTGCTGAACAACCCACCTATCGACACCTGGGCGAACATTACTGTTAATATGCAAACATTATTATGTCACTTGAACTTAGAAATAAAATCAGATTTGCGTGTAGTTTGAGAGCAAGATTTTAAACTACTTTGTTAATCATTATCAACAAAGGAGTTCACAGCATACCAAAACAGTTATACATGTGGGCTTTACATGTTGGAATGGTTAACCAGATTACTCTTTTTCCTGATGTCATCTGCTTTTATAAGCTGCTATTAAAACTAAAATATGAGCAATTGTACGCTAATTAAAGATGTTTTATGATAACCTTTCACAAAGACGACTTTAAAAGCGTGTAATAAAATATTAATTGTGTGTGTTTTATCTATGACCTGAAATAACTGTACATAAACATATTCCTAGGTTTAGCACAAAACATATTATAGTCATACTAATACAACTTATGTCTTATATTATACATGAAAAGTAACAGATATTTAACAACAATGAAATGTAGAACACTTCTCCCAATTAGAAGCAGCAGCTCATCAGCCTAAATCTGTCTTTCCAGAGATATCGCATATACAATAAAACAAGAAAGTGAAACATGCAATCTTTAAAAAAAAAAAAAAAAGGGGGTGGGTGGGTTAATGCCAGAGATGCATTTTACATTGACGATGATGCATTCAAGCATCAAAGGGGGTGTGTCATCCCATGTCAAAATGTGTCAAGATGTCACAGCCAGGCTATAGAAGTGCTTGCGTAGAGCATTAAGACTTTATACAAACTGCTTCTGCAAACTGAATCTTTACCAGAGATCAATGGCTACAATTTGTTTCTTTGTAACAGCAATGTTTACATCATTATCAATAAAAAAAAATTAGACATGTACAGTAGCTTGACTATCCTCTAATGTTATTACTTACAAATTGTGCCTTGCTAGTAGTATCTTGTACGGATTGTTGTTGATGTGCTTGTCATGGCTATTGTGGCCTCACAAGCTTGTCTGTTATCTTTGCACAACAAAAATTAAAAATGATTAAAAAAAATAAAACAAAAAAAACTTTCATTCTCTTTCTTCAGACATCTTCAATGATTATCATAATATAGCTGCAGTATCATTTTCATGTTAATATGGTCAATGCGTAATAATTGTATCAGAGCAAAATACAAATAAGAGTAACACACAGAACCTGAAGGAGCTAACTAGTTTAAAGCTTAACCTATAACAACGTGCATTTCAAAATTGGGGGGGGGGGGGGGGGGGGAACGATATTGGGATCATATTGCAATGACTGCATTTCTAAATACATAACTAAATACATCATAACAGGTAATTTAACTTCAGTAGGAGTATTGCAGGTTCATGTGATCCCTACCTTTTTACACGTGGTCTACACTAAAAGTTACTTTATTCTTTTTTTTTTTTTTTAAACATTCTTTATTTTAATTTTTGCTTAGATTACATATATTGCTTGAAGATGGTGGGAATACACAGTTAAAACAGTTCGATACAGAAAAAAAAGGGGAAACGGGTAATAAAGAACAAAGATATCGTTAGTAGAGTCATATAACAGGGTAGTTGCATTATGTGTACATCTTACCATAAGCAGTAAGCAGATGATAGAGTTAAATTATATAAATACGGGACTAGTAATTACAACAGTTGGGAACATGCTATTGTAGGGTATGGTGAACATCGTCAAAAGTGTGGTTGCATGACACGCACAGGACCTCCTGTCTCAGATTAGGGCATATTCAGTTCCATTCACCTTGTACTTGTGATATCTGCTTTAGGGTTTCACTTAAGGCTCTTAGCGAGCCTACAGTGTCCCATACTTAGGTGCTTATTCTTTACCCCAAAGGTAAAGGGTTAGAGTTGGTGACCCGTCGAGGTCATGGCGGCTGGGTCGCACATTGCAGGGAATGGAGTGAGGTGTGGTTGAAGAGAATTCAATTCTTTAATCTGTTTAATCTGTCCATGAGCAGTTTCGTGAAGAGTTTAATGTTATCGTTCAATAGGGAAATTTTTTGTTAATGGCTCGGCTCTGTGTGGGGTTTATTAGGTTTAGGGAGGAGGCAGATGTTCACCCAAAGCATGTCTGGAGGCAAAGGGTTCCCCTGAAGCATGGAATTTAAAAGATTGCAAAGGCGGGGGGGGTAGTGGTGCGGGAAAGGTTTTGTAATATAACCATGCAAATCCGTCCGGTCCCAGGCTCTTGTTGGGTTTGGTAGTTATGATGGTTTCAGCTATATTTTCTATAGAGGTGGGTTCGCTCAGCTTAGTGATTGCCTCTGGCTTTATGGCCAATATGGGGTTGGCATGAAGATATTCCTCTATGGATTGTAGTGTCGTCGCTGGTTGTTGTCTAGAGGTGGGACTATGGTCATATAGGGTGGCAAAGTAGTTCTGGAAATTTCACAGATTTTCATGGGAAGAGTGTGAGTTTGTCTGTCTGGGGCCTGTATTTTGTTAATGCGTTTCTGGTCGTTCCCGCGCTTCAGTTTCCTTGCCAGTAGGGTATCAGCCTTGTTTGACTTTTCGTAATATGTCTGCTTTGACCATTGGAGAGCTCTCGCTGAGTACCTGGCCATGAAGTCCTTTATTTTGTTGCGGCAGTCAGTCAATTGTGTCAGCACGTCTGGGGATCGGTTTTGTTTATGGCGGGTTTCAAGAACCCTAAGGTTTGTAAGAGATTCAACGAGTTTCGCCAGCTGAGTTTTTTTGGATGTGGACGCAAGACTGATCAGTTTTCCCCTCAGTATGGCCTTGTGAGCGGCCCACAGTATTACCGGTAAAGATACCGAGGGTGTATTGAGAGTGAAATAGTCCATTATGTCTTTGTGGATGGAATCTTTCAAGATGGGGTTATGGAGCAGGGTTGGGTTCAGTCTCCATGACCATGTGATATTAGGAATTGATACGGTCAAAGTGACTTCGGCAAATGTCCAACCATGAGATGGTTTCAATAGAGGCTGCCTTGACCATAGGCAGGAGGGAGGGGGTAATTAGAAAGTGGTCTTGAGGTATGAATTGTATGGGTGCAAATAAAAGGTATAGTCCCGTGTAGACGGTTGTAGCATCCGCCATGCGTCCGCCAAATGTAGGCACAAGGCAAAGGCCTGGATCACTTTGTCAGATTTGGTCATGGGTACTGAGCGTTGTTGGTGGTGGTGTGGGCAATGTCTGTCCACCAATGGTGACATTGTGGCATTATAGTCTCCTCCAATAATCTTATAGTGGGCTGGGAATAAGACCAAATTCGTGTATAGTCAGCCCCAGTTAGGTTAGCCCATCTCATAAGCTGATGCCTCTTAGAGGGGATGTTGAGGCATTTACAGCTAATGGACACGCATGTCATCTCAGAACCCATGTTAGCTGGTTATGACTTGATGGGAATGTTACTGGCTCCCGGTCCTTCCCATCAGAGCTGTGGCCGCGCGCCCACCACGAAGGGTACTCGGGGGGGGGGAGTGGGGGGGAATTAGTTAGGGAATTGGATAGAAGAGGGGAGGGTGGGGAGAGAGGAGAAGAGGTCAGAGTGAAACTGGAGGATAGAGGGGGATGGTAGGATGCCCGTAAGGATGGAGAGGGATTGAATATGAGGGAGTTCTCCGAGTGGTACTTTATTGTTTTTAAAGACAGATAAATGAAACACTAGGTGTGAAAAAGAGGATTTAGGAATGATCATATGAAATCTTTATAGGGATTATTATATATTATTATATGACAGCATAGAGATAGAAAAATAAAATAAACTCTCATAGTAGACTAGTCACAATTGATGTAAGCTCATTGCCTACCAATAAAATATCACATTACAATTTACTTGTTATGGTACACACAAATTGCTTTACTCTTTATGCTTTACTCTACAAGGTAAATTTTACATTTTAGGCTGAAGTAGCTGAACCTGAAGCATAACTGACCTAAAGATTTTTTTCAATTCAGCTCTTTTGGCCTTAAATTTTAAATTCACTTTGAATTCTCACTTCCATCTAATTTATGTTCAAATAAGTAGCTTTCTGATTTAATGTGCTTAATTAATTAATAAGTAAAATAATAAGTGTGTGCTCTTTGTTTGCAGATCCATTGTCTTGTGATTCATGTATGGAGATGAAGTTTCTAATAGGAATTCTTCTTTTGTTCGTGCTCTCCCTGTGGCTGGATGGTGTTCAATCCAAAGAGAAATCTTCGAAAAAGGGGAAAGGGAAAAAGAAGCAATATCTATGTCCCTCGTATGTTATTCTTCTATAATATTTTTTCATTTACGTCAAAAATCATTGCCTAAATTAATTTAAATTGAACTTGTTGTCTCAACTAACTTTACATGATTTTTTTCAGTATTGTTCCTCTATAGAAAGTGGTTGTAAATGCCTTCTTACACATGTATATGAACAAACGCATAAAGCTTCCACTAATGTTTGTGACCATAGTACCCATGTTTCATGCCAAAGGCAAATTAACAAAATGTGCCCCAAGGCTTCTTTTGCTTTGTTTAAACAGTTTTACTCAGCGTTAACATGAGAAAATCCAATTGTGATTTAATTTGCCATGTGGTTTACAGTACAGATGTTTATGGTATAAAGCTGTCATAGAAAGTTGATGTGTTTATGTTGGTGAGATTTAGGTTCTAAATTATTTTTGTGTAGAATTTTCTACATTTTTTTTCAGTTTTTTAATCGAAAATATCTTAACTGGAGTTGAGATATATGTAACAGAATATACAGACCATTTATGTTTCCTTTTTAATTCTTATAATTAAAATTTAGATTTTCTTTGGAGACATGTTTTAAAGGAACAATCTAAGCACCATAACAAGGTCCTTATGCCAAGTTTTTTGCCACCTCCTGGAAAGTACCACCCAAGACAAAAGCCTTGCGGCAAATACACCGCTGATAACAATTACGAGTTGACACCACCTTCTGTCTGTCTTCCGTTCACCCACAGATTACTATGTAAATGTCATCTTTGGATGCTTCTTACAAATGAAAAATATGTATCCAACAGATCATTCCACCTGTCATTTCCACATATTTAAAATCCAAAATAAAATACTGCATACACATAATTCACTACATTTTTGTGCTATTGTTTTTTTCATTTATAATCACAAATTGTGTATGTAAAGCATATATGCTACATTTGTATTGATTTATATATATATATATATATACAGGGAGTGCAGAATTATTAGGCAAGTTGTATTTTTGAGGATTAATTTTATTATTGAACAACAACCATGTTCTCAATGAACCCAAAAAACTCATTAATATCAAAGCTGAATATTTTTGGAAGTAGTTTTTAGTTTGTTTTTAGTTTGAGCTATGTTAGGGGGATATCTGTGTGTGCAGGTGACTATTACTGTGCATAATTATTAGGCAACTTAACAAAAAACAAATATATACCCATTTCAATTATTTATTATTACCAGTGAAACCAATATAACATCTCAACATTCACAAATATACATTTCTGACATTCAAAAACAAAACAAAAACAAATCAGTGACCAATATAGCCACCTTTCTTTGCAAGGACACTCAAAAGCCTGCCATCCATGGATTCTGTCAGTGTTTTGATCTGTTCACCATCAACATTGCGTGCAGCAGCAACCACAGCCTCCCAGACACTGTTCAGAGAGGTGTACTGTTTTTCCTCCTTGTAAATCTCACATTTGATGATGGACCACAGGTTCTCAATGGGGTTCAGATCAGGTGAACAAGGAGGCCATGTCATTAGATTTTCTTCTTTATACCCTTTCTTGCCAGCCACGCTGTGGAGTACTTGGACGCGTGTGATGGAGCATTGTCCTGCATGAAAATCATGTTTTTCTTGAAGGATGCAGACTTCTTCCTGTACCACTGCTTGAAGAAGGTGTCTTCCAGGAACTGGCAGTAGGACTGGGAGTTGAGCTTGACTCCATCCTCAACCCGAAAAGGCCCCACAAGCTCATCTTTGATGATACCAGCCCAAACCAGTACTCCATCTCCACCTTGCTGGCGTCTGAGTCGGACTGGAGCTCTCTGCCCTTTACCAATCCAGCCACGGGCCCATCCATCTGGCCCATCAAGACTCACTCTCATTTCATCAGTCCATAAAACCTTAGAAAAATCAGTCTTGAGATATTTCTTGGCCCAGTCTTGACGTTTCAGCTTGTGTGTCTTGTTCAGTGGTGGTCGTCTTTCAGCCTTTCTTACCTTGGCCATGTCTCTGAGTATTGCACACCTTGTGCTTTTGGGCACTCCAGTGATGTTGCAGCTCTGAAATATGGCCAAACTGGTGGCAAGTGGCATCGTGGCAGCTGCACGCTTGACTTTTCTCAGTTCATGGGCAGTTATTTTGCGCCTTGGTTTTTCCACACGCTTCTTGCGACCCTGTTGACTATTTTGAATGAAACGCTTGATTGTTCGATGATCACGCTTCAGAAGCTTTGCAATTTTAAGAGTGCTGCATCCCTCTGCAAGATATCTCACTATTTTTGACTTTTCTGAGCCTGTCAAGTCCTTCTTTTGACCCATTTTGCCAAAGGAAAGGAAGTTGCCTAATAATTATGCACACCTGATATAGGGTGTTGATGTCATTAGACCACACCCCTTCTCATTACAGAGATGCACATCACCTAATATGCTTAATTGGTAGTAGGCTTTCGAGCCTATACAGCTTGGAGTAAGACAACATGCATAAAGAGGATGATGTGGTCAAAATACTCATTTGCCTAATAATTCTGCACTCCCTGTATAAATCAATACAAATGTAGCATATATGCTTTATGGAGTAAGCAGCTTAAAATTAATTTATTTAAATCAAAATGACAGAACAACATACTTAATTTCTGCCAGGAGGCCTTAGTGATGTAAGATGCTGGGCCAAACATTGTATGCCATGTTATCTTTTGCCTACCTGCTAACTCTGAGGTTGATAGAATTGGGAGGCCGTTGGGAGGGGGATAGAAGGGACGGGCCAGCCAAGCAATTGTATCATTGGCTTTGCTCCAAAATATGCTTGAATACACACCAGACTGCCTTCCTATGATGTTAGGTCAGCCTACTATGGGCAGACCTTGCAGGGAGCACTGATTCAGGGCTCTAAACATAATGCTAGCATGTTTTGCCATTCACTTGCACTATGTTTGTTGGGGACAGTTCCTTGGTGTCCCCAAAAGTGGGACACCAGGGTACAAAATCGGGACGATGGCATAGGACCCAGAAATTGAAAGTGTTCCACCAGAACCGGGAGGGTTGGGAGGCATTTACCTTTTTGTGTTGCTTACTCCATGAAGACTTTATACTCCATTTGTACAGAATGATACATTAGAGTTTTGCAGGCCCCTTTATATGGTTCTCCAGATTGGCAGTGGACTTGTTTATGACCTATGTACCTGTGTGCATTATCCCACTACTATTACCAATCTATATTAAGATGCCTTGAATAACTGTACTGTACAGTACTGTATGAGATATTTTACATATAGAAACAGACTAAATATGGCAATGCAGAAACACGGTATAAGACAAAATAAACCCTTTGACAAAGGGTTTCTATATCAGTGACATAGCAAGCTGGATGATGTTCCAATGGCAGAATGCTATACATGGAATTTGCCAGCTGGACATGTTGCAGTACACCTGGTTTGCATAGGATTAATTCAATTCAGAGTTTCTGGATGTTTAATGAATTTAATCTCTCAGACCTTTGAAAAAGTTGTTTAAAATTCATTAATTTTGTTCTCGTTCTGGTTCATGAATCTCTGATCCAAGGCCTGGCAATCTTTCTAGGGCGCCTAATAAATATTTGGAAGACCTGTTGTTATTGCTGGCATTCCATATCTTGCATAGTTTTGCATTTTATTTTCTACACTATCTGTGAAGAGTATAATTTACAACTACATTTTCTTCAGGCTAAAATGATACCGTATATATTAAATACATTTTATGCCCAGCAATATTATGCCCGTTGCTGTACTAGTAGTCTAAATAATATCGCACCCAGGTTTCTTTGGCATTTCTATATCACATCCAAACATTAAACTGAATTTGACCTGGACATCATGCCTCGAATAATATTAGAAATAATATAGACAATGCATCACTTTAGACAGCTTATTCGCTTTTGGGTACAGTTGCCTTATTTTGCAGACTGAAGAAGCAGGTAAATGTGTTTTTCATAATTACCTGCAACTTCTTTCTTTTGCTTTCCACACCCTCTCAAGGGTGGACTCTGATCTAACCAATCAGTGTCCTATCCCAAGGAATGCAAGGAATGCTGATAAAGTGCATTGGGCATGCCTGGCAAGTTTATACATGTACAGTTGGAATATCTCTTCACCTTGCAATATCCTGACAGGGGGAGAAGAGAGGGATCTGATCATTGTGCTCCATGCAGCAGTGTTGGATTTCTCTCTCCTGCTGCTGCCCTGATGATGCCCTGTTTCTGTCCCTGGTGGACTGGCCTGAAACAGAGATGAGTGGGCAAAGGGGAGGGAGGGTACGTGAAGAAACATCCTTAACTGCTAGGTGTGCTCAATAATTTTTAGTTAAAGTGAGTTTATAAATTTTGATTACATACTTTTCAAAGTTTATCCAAGTTCATTTTTTTGTTAAAAAGTGGTTGCATGCTGATTAAAAATATAATGGAAGCACTTTGGGTATGCTACAGGGCTAATTTGCTGGCTTAACCCCTTAACGCCGTTCCGCATTAAAAGGGCTTTAAAGCCATTGCGACGGCATAGAACGCCGTAACGCCTTGCAGCGCCTGGAGGTCCGGTGGACTTACCTCTTCTGGAGGGCTGCCTGACAGCCCAGGCAGCCCTCCCCCGGCAAATGAGGCCCCCGGGGGCCATGTGATCGCTCTCAAAGAGCGATCACATGGCCCCCTATAGCTGGCTGTGGATCTGCCAGCAGGGGGACTGTCTGAAATGTCACCCTGCTGGTGGGAAAGTAAAAAATAAATAAATAATTAAACATGTTTAAAATAAAATAAATGTATTTTTATATATATAATATATGTATATCTATTATATATATAATATATATATATACATATTATATATATGTAACGTCATACAAAGTGTATTTTAATATTAATATAAGTACATATATTAG